AAAATAAACTCACAGAGATAATAGACCAGCGGGAAAAACGAAGCGCCAAAGAAGAAGCCGAACATCAGGGCACAAACCACATTGCGGTTCTTGAACAGCCTCGGCGGCAGAGTGCCCTTATCGCCCTTCCAGATCTGGATGGCCACAAAGATGATGGCCATGAGCGCGGCGCCGACAAACAGGCCAATGATCCTTGAGTCGTTCCACGCGTACTCGGTGCCTCCCCACTGCAGCGCGAGGAGCAGCGAGACGATGGCCGGGATGAGCATGGCCGTGCCGATGAGGTCGAGCTTCAGGATGCGCACCCAAAAAGACTCGCCGAGCGGGTTGTTGTCCCTCTTGATGTGCAAGAAAAAAAAGATGGACGCCATGGCCGCACCGCCGATGGGCAGGTTGATATAAAAGCACCAGCGCCAGGTGACGTGGTCGGTGAAGGCGCCACCCAGCAGCGGGCCTGCGACGGACGCGACGCCCCAGATGGACCCGATGAGCCCAAAGGCGATGGGCCGCTTGCGAAGCGGCAGGATGTGCGAGATGATGACGGCCGAGCCGGAAAAAAGCCCCGCGGTGCCCATGCCCGCGACGGTGCGCCCCACGATGAAGGCGTTGGACGTCGGCGCCAGCGCGCACACTAGGCTGCCGACCTCGAACACGAACACGGCGGCCAGGTACACCCACTTGACGCTGAACATGCGGTAAAGCGAGCCGTAGGACGGCTGCAGCGCCGTGGTCGAGAGGAGGTAGGCGGCGCCGTACCAGCCGATGTCCCCCACGCTGGAGAAGTCGCTCGTGATGGCGCCCAGAGCCGGCGCAATGATGGTCTGGTCGAGGGCCACGAGGAAGGAGGCCATGCAGAGAGACATGACGATTAGGACCAGCTTGAGACCGGTTGGGTATGCGATGCCCTCATCGTTGTGCAGGCGGCTGTTGGTACTGTCCTGCTTAGGTGCCGGTGCTGGGGCATCAGTCGGGGCTGGGGCCTTGTCGACGGAGGGCCGAGGCCGCTCCGACGACTTCTCGACCTCGCTATCGGTCGTCGTCATGTCGGCGGCGACGATATTGAAGCGCGTAGAGTTTGGGATGGTGTCAGTTGTGGCCGGTTGGTGGAGTTTTGCCCGCTTGTTTTAACAAATTTCCAAAAAAAAAGGGGCCTCGCGTTGACGGTGAAGTAAATAAAAGATACCCGGATTATGGATTATATCAAGGCTTTGCGCGCGCCAATAGAAGAGACTCGGAGCCTGGAGCTCTGAATCCAAGAAAGCCCGGAAGCAAAATTTTCACAGCTTATGTTTCCCAATGAAAACTGGTTTCCTGTTATATTTTATCCCAGCCCGTCTCTGGTAGTGGGCAGCAAAAGGCACCCAGCTGCCGTGTCTCACCAACACGCAGTCCTATCAGTTGGCCCGTTCTCGAAGAAAAAGCGCGGAGTGTAAGATGTATCGACGGAAAAAAAGAGCGTCTAAGAAAAAAAGGTGCAGGGGAGGGAGGGAAATGAGGTAAAGGTCCAAAAGGGAGAGAGTGGGAGAGTAGTGAGTTGACAAACCAACTACAAAGAAGAGAGAAAGGATGAAGAAAAAGCGAGTCCTCGTCGTCAATGATGAACAAGAGTGACGATATAGAAAGGAAGGACCAAGATTTTTCCCACTGAGGATGAACAAAAGGGATCTGGCCGACGACTTAATATGATACCCCTACTAGAACTAGACACTGGATCAGTAGGTACCTGTTAATCCCTTCACTATGTTGGTGTGTGTGAGTGCCTCCCTTACCTTGCCTAGCAACATCCTAGCGTCATTGAATATTGCAACCACAGCAGGCAGGCCCCAGCAAGCCGTTTTTCGCACCATTTGCCTTACCATTCGGCGGAGGTAACGACCCCGAGAGAGGCGAGGCGGTCCAGGGCGCAACACCCATTATTATCGATACCGTGGTAAAAAACGATCGCTCGCTTTTCCATTCCCCACGATTTTCCATCCCCATCTCGGCCTCGGCTCGCATTTTAGCGGAATCGCTTTGTAGTTGTGATTGGCCCCCAAGGCCCCCTTCGAAGTTCGATCTGGACCGCCCCTGGCGAAATGCGTGTCAATCGTCTCGCCCAAGCTGAACCAGCTCGGTGCTCGGAGAACATGTTGACCGGGGATGACTCCACCAAGTTTGCCGCCGCCCGCAGTGTGCACTTCTCACTTCTTCGCGCTGTCGAGAGAGAGGAGAGGGAGAAAATGAGAAAGACCGGATTCAGCCGTTTCTTAAGGCAGGTAATTTGAATTGGAATGTGAGATGACTCGTACATAGGGCTGGGGGGAAAAAGCCATACACGTCATTTTTGTGATTCGGCGACTACATGGTACATGTACATACAGTACACATACTGGACAAGAGCAATGTGCGCTGAGACAAAGCTATGCGTGCCTTGACCCCTGTCTAGAACGCGGACGACGTAAATCCCGGGCGCCGCGAATCGCGAAGTCACGTTTGCCTCTCTAACACCCTGCAACCTGAACAGACATTTCTGTCAGATAACTTCGCGCCTTTGGCAAGATTCAAGACCCAAGGCCGAGGCTTCGTTTGCATTTACCTTAGTCATGGCCCCTTCACGACAGCTGCAAGGAAATACACGTAATAAAATCTGAGGATTCGGCCTCTGTCATTATTATAATGTCTTCGACTCCTTGGTATCTTTTTGTACGTACATCATCATCAATAAAATAAAACACTAAACGCCCCGTTACCCCAACTCAGTTGGTGAGTAAGGTTATAAGACCCGTATTTGCCCCCTAACCTGTCCTGCGCACGCGTTTCTTCCTGAGCCCGAGGTACTACCTCCGGGTCCGCGTCTTCTTCTGCGTTTGCGCTGTATCTTCCTCAACCTCATCCTCGCCTTTCTTAAGGTCCTCCATCAAGCCCCACTCCTCCCTGTCGTACCAGTCTTCACCGTCAGACATATCGCGGTTTGCCCCAGAGTGAGCCTCCGCCTTCGCCCACTGCCACACGGTGCGGCGGTACCGATCAGCCTTGAGAAGGCCTTCATATAGCGTCTTCGTCCCGCGGCACACTTCCTCCTGCTTTTGTACATAGAGCTGCAGGAGCCGCCGCACATCCTCGGCTTCGGGCTCTGGGAGGCCAAGGTCGCGGTCAGGCTGTGCTGAGCGCGGCGGCAGGAAGAGCGGATGAATGAAGGGAAGGTCGAGAGGATCTGCCGCGGCGGATGACCCTGCCCTACTGCCGCTGCCAGCCGCTGCCTCCGCCATGTCCGCGTCTTCATGGCCGGAGCTTCCCGGCATATTGCCGTTTCTGTCGTCCTCGCCTGCCGGTGGATGGCCGTTGGCCTGTTGAGCGCCTTCGGGCTTTTCCTTCAAACTCGCAGTTCCCGCTTCCTCAGCACCATTTCTGCTCCCGCTCTCCTCCAACTGATTTTCACTTTCGACTTCATGTGTGTCTTGTTTGCCTGGCTCCAGAGGGCTTGTCTTGTCGCTCGGAGCAGCGTGGTCGGTGCCGTCAACCATCTCCCGCTGCGCAAGCTCCAGCACTGGCTTTTGGCTCGTCGTTGGGATTGCATCTGCCAAGCCTAGTGATGATGTGGTACCGCGTCTAAGAAAGCTGGGGGTATTCGTGAATAGGTCGACGTCGTTGGGCTGGATCATGATTCCGCAAGGCGCCCATGTGTTGTCGCCAATCAGTTTGGTCAACAAGGGCTTAGCTTTCCACAGCGCCGCATTCTCCTTGTGCATCAGACTTAGAGCTTGCTTAACCAGCTCAGGCAATGCTTTCGATGTAAAAGGTCGCGAGAGGGTCGGATGCGTTGGAAGGTCGGTAACGGCGGTCAAGGGCGCAAGCAGTTCTAGTTTGCGTCAGCACCAACGTCTTGTGAAGATTCATTAAGACAACCGGGCGAGAGATGTCACTCACGTTCAAGCCGAATGGACGAGTATGGGTCGTCCTCCATGGCGGAGGCCATAACCTCCCGGATGTGCTCTTCATTGTCATCGCTGTCCAAGTCGTATCCTTCTTCGTCGACGAGAGACGGATTTCTGTTGATGATGGCACGGTGGTAGCCGGCATGCTCGGCGATCTAAAATTTGGGGGGTCAGCTCAGGTGGCTATTGTGTCGGGTAGGTTGACAAATGGGCAGTGAACCGTCACGCACCTCTTTGTATGCAGCAGGACCTGTGGGAGGCGCAAGACGGCCTTCGCGCACGTATCGCGCCCTCTTCTTCAGCTTGTAGCCGCGGTTCGTATTGTGTTCGATTGACGAATCGGAGTCGGACTCTGGGCGCGATTCAGCAGGCGGTTAGAGACTGGGCGAGAACGGTGCGGTCTGGTTTATAAACCGACATTGAGCTTACCGTATGCTTTCCGTTTCAAAGCCTTCCTGATGGCGACAATGGTTTGCATGATCATAGCCTGCTGTTGGGTAGCCATGGCGGCAATGAAGCAATTGCGCTCAGCCCAGGACGGCAAGATTGCAAGGGATTTGTTGAAGCTTCGCGGAGCAGGGCGCAAGGTACGGTCGTCTTCAAAGCTATGAGTATCGAAGTTGAAAGACTCAACAATCCAGTTTACTTGAATTGCGGGCTTCGTAGAGGCGCGGTTCGTCACGGGGGTGAGAATGGGGCGGTTGCGCTGGAGGTTCAAGTTGTCTCGAGCGCGAGCTGGGGGGGAAGTGGCACTTGCGCTGTGCGCACTGAATGAACTCATGCTAGATTCTGGCACCAAAAGGCGGACAGCAGCGGCAGGAAATGAGTCCCTGCGTCGGCACACCTGCGAGCCAAGACCCACAGGAAGCAGACGGCAGAATCATGCAACAAACCGAAATTCGCCCAACCGGTCACATCTTCCCACTTGCGTCAACATAGTGAATGTGGGGTCTCGATAAATAGTTATCTGCCCACAACTGGAGAGCGGAAAGGACAAGAAAGATAAAAGGCATTGGCAGCCACCGTCCGAGTTTCAAATACAGAGTAAAATATAAGATAGAAAGAAGAAGGCAAAAAAAAGCGAAGCACCCCACGTGGGACTCGAACCCACAGCCTCAAGATTACAGCTTTCAGACTTGGACTGATAGAAGTCTTGCGCGCTACCATTGCGCCAGCAGGGTTGCTAACAGCTCAGATTTGAGCCAGTAGCTGGTGATTGGTTGGTCGTCTCATAATTCTTTATAGTGTACGCCCCTGCCCAGAAGGGCGGTCGGTGACATCACACCGCCTTCAACATTCTGCCAGAGGCCCAAGCTCCCTGCATCCCGTCACTAACGGGGAGCAGGTCCCAGCGGCTCACCACAGCACTCATCACAATACGTAGCTCACAGCTGGACGAAAGCAACAGAGAGCCACCAAGCAGCCAAGGAGGCAGCAGCCACCATAACGTCACATCACAAAATGCCTGACGATGAAGGAGCTGGATTCCAAGAGATGATGCGCTCTGCGGGGTCTTCGCAGCCCGGGATTGGGACGTACAACGCGCAGCAGCTGGGCATCGACTTTGCCAAGCTTCCCCAGCTTCCCTTCTATAGCAAGCTGTACGCATATACCCAGTCCTGGTACCAACATGAAATCACCAAGTCCGTCAACCAGGCCTCGGTATTTGTGAGGAGGCCATTGACGCCTGACGAGAGAGATGCCATCGCTTTCCACACTGCGAGACAGCATTCCATCGAGGCGACCTGGGATCCCCCTTTGCGCGTGGTAGCTGGCTTGTACTTTGAGAACAGAGGCCGAGCCACCCTGCGCTTTCCCTTCATCACTCCGAACCCGCAAAACTATCACCCCGATGTGTTCCCATCTTTGCGAATGCCCTATCTCCGGGGATTCCAGGCGAACATAGCCTGGTCAGTACTTCGCTTCTTTGTATATTCAGAAGCCCTCGATTTTGCGATCCGCCCCTTCCTTGTCGCATATAGCCGCACAATATCAGCTGTCGGCTTGACCGGAGACCAGCGGCTGTCTGGCTGGCGCGACGAGTTTCTTGCCAAAGTGAAGAAGGGGGGACCTGGGCTGCCTTCGTCAACTCCTGCCCCTGTTTCACACCAAGACGCAAGCCAAGATACCAACCAGGACAACCAAGACTCACCGTCTTCTTTTGGTGGCCGAGAAGAATCTAGTGAGCAACCCGCAAAGAGCTTCAATGCCACGGCATGGGATCGACGCCGGGCACAAGCACAGGCACCAGTGGCCGCTTCCGAAGAGGATGATGACGCGTTTCTCTCGGAGGACTATGACGACGCTTCACCACTTGCCCCTTCTGTAAGGCACCAACAGCAGCAACCGCAGAAATCCTCTGGTGGTTCTGCGTGGGATAGACTCCGTAGTCAGGCTGCACCTTCTGGCGGGAAGGGGAAAGCTCCCCGAGAAACACCACAGGCGAGCTCTGAGAACAACGAATACGTCTATGCTCCAAAGGATGACAACAGCGTCTCCAAGGCCGAGGCTCAGAGGAAGTTTGATGAGATGCTGGAGCGGGAGCGGAGTGGCAAATCAGATAGCTCAGACCGCCGCTTCTAAAGGTGTCTATCAAATTTTCTATCCATATGACTTGAATGTCTGTGGCGGGGTTACAGGAGTCTTAAAATCTCATGTTCAAGCACAGTACTCTCGCGGGTTGTGAATAGCCAATCTACTTGTGCCTTTTTCTAGCCGTCTTTGTATCATTGTACAATACCATGCCATCGGCATCATCCGTCGAAATGTTTTGTTTGTATGTACATTCCCCTCGAATGAAAAGGGTGTATGGCCTGGGCTTCTTCGAGACTCTGCAGACAATACTTTTTCTCAGATGAGGTATACAACGGATGTCAAATTTGGCTTCCATTAACCCAGACGTGAAACACAAATCCTTAGATGCCTGAAAATCCTAAGAGGGAGAGAGAGATACGCTTGCTTCTCTCTCGTTCACAGCAGAATACATGAACTGCAACCCATTGTAAGTGCATATATGCGACCGACTTGGACCTTGTTTATCCGTAGTTGCAGCCTATTTATTTATTATTTTTCTTATCCGCATACAGAATTGGCAATGAGTATACTTATCCGCAGACAGTTTGCCCTTTTCCTAAAAAAAAGACAAATACCTTCCCCATGAAGGTTCGAAGAGTAAGACAGCAATAAGCATAAAAGACATGATACAGCCCGCACTTGGAACACCGGGAGCTCACCCACCCCGAGCAAGTAGCGAAGTCATGGGTGGATTATTGCTCCCTTCTCCCTCCCTCGGGCAGATCCCCTTTCTTTTTTCTTCATTTTTTTATTTTAAAAAAAGGCTTTACGCCGAGAGATAAAAAGTCACCTAAACAATACCTGGACATAGATATGTCCAGGTACCTATCCTCCATAGGCTTTAAAGGGGAATGTTAAACGCAAGTAAAGCAATTAGCCCAGAAAACGAGATACATCATCTCACCAACACTAACCTCAAAACACTGTAGTCTATAATAGTAGGGATGTCTGTTTGCTCCTCATGTGGGTTCAGCTACATAGGTAGGTACCAACCGTCCTTCACCTATGTATGCCGGTGATAGGTACTTGTTCTCCCCCATCTCAGCTCTCCATAACTCGACGTAATCCTCATCTCACTTATCTATAAACGCCTATCGTTGCCTTTTTTCTCCATTCTATTGTTTCAAACAATGGTGATTACTTCTCTCCTGGATATATCACAAGGTATATAACGTAAATAAAGCTTCAATATTTTACCTTGAATAATCTAAAATAATACTTCCATAACCCAATCTAAACCTCCCCTTCACGATATCCAACATCACCCCCAGCTTATGCACTCACCCACTCACTCACTCATTCCTGGTATAGGTACACAACTTAAATAAGTAGGCAGGTACTCACTCTACAATATCAAACTCCCGTCCCTATCAAACCACCGCCGCATATACACAAGGTACCTACCGAGCTACGTATATTCTATTCCACTCAAAGAAGGAGAGAGACAGAATATTACAACCCCGACACCCACCCCATCGCTATAATAATACATATTACACCCGCCTACCTACCTACCATCTCTTCTCTACCTATCGACCAATGTAGACCAAATAAAGAGGCCATCAAAAAGAAACCAGGTACCTACACAAACTTATATATCAAACACACACAAAATATATTAAGCCATCAGGTTGATCTGTTCGTCATTTTGTGATTGATATACGTCCATTTATTAAATTATCAGCCTACTGTCTGTGCTGTCCCTCCCTCGCGAGTTCCAGCGGGTGTGCGAAACGACGAATTCACACAGTCCAGGCTCCAGGTCTATCGCGTGCTCGGCACGCAACATGCGTGTGGCGCATCTCCGCGGCACCCATCACCCTCTTATTACTCCAGTCCTCCGGCTTTTCTTAGCCCCATTTCTTTTCCACCACCCACCTACACACCTACGACAACACGCACACTCCCCTCGCATGCACCACAAACCCGTCAATCGCCTTTCTTCTATTCAGCCCTATCAATCCCATACTCCAAGGCCCGCACTAGGGCGGGAGGTGGAACGGAGATAAGAAGAAAAACTACAAGTCTTTAATTCATTCAATCATTGGTCCCAAATAATCTAGTCCCTTAAACCCGCCATACCGGCAGTCGCCGAAAAGTTCCCGTACATGCCCTCGTCGCTGCTATCGCTACCCCCCGGACTCCGAGGGCTCTGCATGCCGCTGCCGTCTGCACCTCCGGCAGAATAGCTTCCGGTCTCTATGATCCCGCTCATGGCGGTCATGCTCATGCTCCCGCTCATCCCACCGAGCGCCAAGATGCTCTGGCGTCGCGCAGCATCAACGTCAACCGCGCTCCCGTGGCGGCTGAGAAGAGGTTTCTCAGGCAACTGCTTCAGGAGGCCCGTAGTGATGTCCAGCATGCCCATCGCAAACTCTGTCAGGCCCTTGGTCTCGCCGGGCTTAGAACTAACGGACAAAGTCCAGCGGTACTCGCCCAGGCGGCGACGGTACCATTCGGCCTCTTCGCGGCCAGGGGATGTGGCCCAAAGAAGAGAGCCGAACGTGCCGATGAGCGCAAAGTTTGTCTTGGAGGCAAAGTACCAGAATGCGCGCAGATGAGAGTGATTCAGGCGGTTGACGAAATCCATCGCCGAGATGAGGCGAGCCTTGGCTGCACTGCGACATATGTGCTGGATATACGGCTCCGCGACTGCGCCTGCCTCGATGGAGCGGATAATACGCCGGTGGAGTGTGATTTCGGTTGCGAAGTAGGCCAGGTGCAGATAGCCGATGCTGGAGAGGCGGCCGGTGCCATTGAGGCCTGTCGGACTACCGCCCTGGAACGTCGAGTCCATCCGAATTGCTGCCGGCAGCGCGGCGTACCAGTCTTTAAGTTTGAGCTGGATGGGCTTGGCCAGCGACAGCACCAGCTGAGTGCCCTGTGGTCCGGCGTTGGCGACAGCCTGCGTTGCCTGCAGCGTATAAAAGGCCTCAAGAATCTCGGCGAGGATCAGAGACAGCTGCACCATCTGGCCGAACAGCATGCGTCCGCGCTCAATCTCCAGTCGCTCCTCCTCGTCATTCTCATCCCACTCTACGTCCGGGAAGTCGTTCTGCGTCAGTGGCTGCGCGCCCCAGTTCGACGAGAAGATGTGGGATGGACGCCCGTGGACCAGGGCCCCCCATTTGTCCTGCATATACAGCGACTTTTGACACAGGTCCAGCATTAATTTACGACGCTCTGGATGGAAATTAAGCAAGGGAACAGGAGATCATATTGACTTACCCAGGCCAACCGTTTCCTCAACCCTCTCTCCCACGGCGGTATCTTCCAGTTGGAGCAGTCCAGATGCAGACCGAGCTCCTGTCCGATCGCCACCAGCTGTGCTGTAGGCGCCCATTGGTCGCCCTCGGGACGTTGCGACAGAAGCAAGCCGGCTTGTATTGTGGAGAGTTTCGGTCGGTACATGGCTTCCGCAAGTGTGGTCCTCACCAGCCTCTCGAGCTCGCGGACATTGGGTCGCGTAAGGGGGGCTAAATCTTCCGAGTGATCCCACCAATTGATCGCCAGGATGTAGATGGCGGCGAGGAGCGGCGGCGAGAATTCACGGTAGGACCGCTCGTACTTTTCGAAGAAAACGGTCTTCTGGATAATGGGGAAACCA